AAATTTTGAAAGAGTAATGGACCCACCACCCCCTTGGGCTAGTTGATTTACAAAACCTCCTTCAAAAAAGAAAAAGAAATTCCAGTCATCCACTTATAGTTGGACATTGTTTCTATACGAGCAGCTCTGAGAGCTCAGGGTCCCTGTGACTCCAACTCCCCCATCCATGGTACGGCTAACAGCAGCGAGCTAAGGGAATGATAGACACAGGTGTGATACTGCTCCCCGTATCAAACATGCATTCAGCTAGCAGAGGTGCAGGCTGAATCTGTGGGCCATTTACTCATTCCAGCCACTTCAAAGAGGCATATAAACCAGGCCAAGTAGATTGTTTGCAGAGTGGGTGGACAGTGCCTGGGTCAGACAGTTCTATGGGACACATATCAGTAAGGACAGCCTTTCTCTTCTGGGTTAGTGTCCCACCATGCCACAGGAAAGGTTTCTTGATAGGTTAAAAGTTGAGTCCTACAGACAACAGACAACACTCCTCCATGCAAAGCAAAAACCAAAGCATGCATAGGAAGCGCACCATCTGTGTCTGGCATTTATATATCCCCATGTTCTGCCCTCTATAATACATGAGCTACATCTAGTCATGCTGATTCAGAAATAATATATACAAATATATATATATATATTATATCCTCCTCATATGTATGCTACAGAAGAAAGACTTCTAGCTGTCCTTGAACAGTGTGGCTCTTCAGAGGTGACAAAATGTATCCACAAGAGTTTCATATTGACTTTCTGTTGTTATTGCTGAGAGAGCCTGCACAGAGAAACAAAGTTCTTGAGGGAATTCTTGGTACCACACTTGAGCAAAAGTGAATGTGAAAGTTCCAGAGCCATCTAGAATCCCATCAACTTTTCACCCTGGCTTCTGTTTCGACTCTTCAGCTCACACTGTTGGAAGGAGACAAATATAGCTGGTTTTGCTTTGATCTGTGGTCAGCTTGGCTTTCCAATCCTGGCACAATGGTGACATTTAGGAGGGGAAGGGATGAAATTATTTTCATTCCAGCCTTTTAAGCATGATAAAGACTTCGAAAACTGCTCTGGGCAAAATATGAATTTGGATGTAAACAGAATATCTTTTGCTGTTGTTTGTTGTTTTTCGTTTTGTGGGTTTTTTTTTTCTTCCTTAAATTAAAAAGTCCTTCTTCTTCCTTGCTGGGTATTTACAGAAGTATAAATAGGCAGGTCAACATGTCCACCCCCTCAATCATCTTGTTTATTAAAGAAAGGACCCGTGGCCTGCACTTGCTGAGTGATGGGGGAGGGTATTGCTGCAAGGTGCAACCCACACCACAGCCAGAACCAGACCAGCACTGTCAGCCAATCCTTATCACTTTCTGAAAAAGATCATCATAACTCTGAGAACAATTAGACTCCAGAAAACAAAACAAACCCTTGTGTGCATGTCTATTTACTCAGCACTGAGCAGTCAGCTGTCCGAATCCCTGGAATTCTTGCTGCCTCATGGCCAGCCCAAGTCTCCTAATCTGACAGCTGAGACCAGTTAGAGGCGACATGGGAGTCGGGTGAACCTCTCAGTTAACCTCACCCATCCTGGAACAAAAGGTCTGTTTCCTCCTCTTCAGCCCCACTTTCCAGTTCTACCACTCTGAAAGGCAACCTCAGGAAGGCAGGGAGAGCAGGAGAAGGTGAGTGGATAGTAGTGGCACACAGGCAAAGCCCGTGGACTGTGAGATTGCCTAACAGACACATACCTATAGACACAAGCTTGTGTGGACGATCAGCACAAGTTCGGATCTACGGGTTTGTGGCAACAGGCTTCAGTATCTTCTCTTGTGTGTGGGTTGACTTGTCTGAAGATAAAATGTTAAAACCATTAGTCCAACAAAAGAGCTTGCCATTGGGTCATTTAGTCCAACAACAGATTATGCCGTTGGGTCATTTCATGCCAGAGATGGGAAGGGTTTCAACCTACTCTCAAAGGGTGACCTTAGAAAGGTCTCCTGTCGTCTCTGTCAGACCTCCTGGTTTTCTCATTCACTTGATGCAGTGGGCTCTGGGTGAACTTCATTTGATCAGAATCCTCATCTATTTAGTCCAAACTACTGTTAGTATGGCTAATAAGCAGAATGAGGCAGATCCTAAAAGAAAGAACAAGAACCCAGGTGCAAGGTAATTCTTTTAGCTTCTGTAGTTCTGTAGTAAAGGATACTAAGGTTTTCCCCTTTTAAATTTGCATGTCAGAAAGAAAAACACAAAATCAAATGGAATTAACCAGCAGCAAGTAGTGCTAACAACTTGGAAGAGAGCTTCCTTAACACATCTCAGCAGAGATTTCACTCTACCAAACCAGAGGGGTCATCTTCAAAAAAAAGCTGTAGCTTTGTGTCATCCCTTCCCAAGCCCATTATTGGCCCAAATATGAGCAATTAGCAAGTTTGGGTATATTTTCAAAATTAAGCTGTAAGAGGACCTATATCACTGCTACCTCTAAAACTATTGAAGGGCATAAGGTTGTCAACATGCAATCAATATTTCTGCAAAGCTAAAGCTCCATAGGAAGAACGGATCTTCAAGGAAAGGGACTTTTATGAATGGCCTCTCCTGTGAGCTGCGTGGCAGACATGGTCATAACAAAAAATCACTTCAGGGAAACTCATTGGATGTTTAAACTATCCCTTCCCTAGATGTCAGGGAAACCATACACCTTGTGCTTTCGAACAACCTTACCAGAGACATTTTTTTTTTTTTAATTTCTGTTAGCTGGAAACTATGGAGTTGGGCCCTCAAAAAGATCTGCTTCATCTTGTCAAGCAGACATTTACTCATTGAGAGCCCAGAAGATAAACTGAGGCTCCACTTTCAACCATAAAAGCTGAATTGGGGAGCTATTCCTAGATCAGGCCAGGCTTCATGCATGCATCCTAACACATAAAACAGGAGCCTAGGAAGACAAGAGGGCCTGAAACACTACCACGGTATTCCTCGTCAGCCCCATTCACTCCAGCTATGCCCACAGTGTGCAGAGGTGGGTGATGATACAGAGATCGACAGTCTGAGAACCAGACCAAGCAGTACCCAAACCACAAATCTCCCTGAATTTCTCTACATCATTTATTTAAAAACATTCATTTCCCTTATAAAAACATAGGTATTTTACATAATCCTTGAGCTTCTGATTTTCTGTTGATCTCTCTGACAAAGGAATAGGGACAGGGACATTTAAAGCTGGGCACTGACCATTGTGGACAGTTGCTGAGAAATGGGAGTTGTAGCTCCCACTGACAGTTTAAGGGGATGGGTTCCAGCTCCCCAATTAATCAGAAGTAATTTTTAAGACAGGCTAAGACATCCTCATCCAAATAATTAAAAACTCTAGCCCCCTTCCCCTTTTTTAGACAGTCTCATTGTGTTGCCAAGACTGCCCTGGAACTCCTGAAGGGAACAGGCTGGCTTCAAACTTACAGAGATCCACCTGACTCTGCCTCCTAAATGCGGGGATCAAGGGGGCACACCACCATACCCACTTAAAATTAAAAACTTTTTTAGCACTGACCTGATGGCTCAAGAAAAAAAAAAATCCACCCCCCCCCAAAAAAAAATGATGCCAGGAGACATGTTATAGTGGCAATATAAATGCATTGAGAACTTTGCATAAAATACCTCCAGGCTACGTATACATGACGTACTCGAACATTAATAACTTTGTGTTTAGGCGTGGGCCCCATTATCAAACCACCTCATCGTTTTTGAAAACATTCTAATTGTTTAAAATCACAAATAGGAAACACATCTCAATCATTTCAGATAAGGAATATTCAAACGGCACTGTGGCTAGTGCAACAGTTATATGCAACATTTGTCACCAATGACCTAGGATCTATCAAGTGGCACATGGTCTCCTTTGCACAGCACCACCTACACATCCCCAAGATACCTGGAGACCGCAGACAGGAACTCAAGCCTGTGTTTCCCCCAGGACCATCTTTCTTTTTTTTCAAACACAGGAGAGAGGGTTACACATTCAGATGTACTAAGATCGGCTTCCAAAAACCTAACATTTTAAATTCAGAAATCAAAATAAGAAAAGATTTAAATATTAATGTTAGGAGAGGGTAAGTTTGTTTGCCTTCCCTGAAGTGGCCGTTGAATGCCTTCTTTGAGAAATTTCTTTGTGCTGGAGAAGAACATAGGGATTCATTTTTCCCCCAAAAAAGGACATTTTTGGGTCATTCCACGAGACAAGATTTCATAGGGCGCTATCAGACAGCAGCCAAATGGGGAAGCTTGAGGCTGGCATTTACAAACAACGGGGAAGGTAATTGGGGGGACACCAGATCACGGACGCCTGTAAACCTTTCCAGGTGGCAGGAAGTGGTTCAATGACACCAGAAGGAAGCTTCCTGTATCATGACAGCTGGGCTCAATACCCACCCACTCAGTGGATGTTAGAGAGTTCCAGAGAGTATTCACTTGTCACCAAGTCGAATGGACATTAAAATATCAATAACAGCCGGGCGGTGGTGGCGCACGCCTTTAATCCCAGCACTCGGGAGGCAGAGCCAGGCGGATCTCCGTGAGTTCGAGGCCAGCCTGGGCTACCAAGTGAGCTCCAGGAAAGGCGCAAAGCTACGCAGAGAAACCCTGTCTCGAAAAACCAAAAA